AGGAGACCAAGTACTCCACATAGCCACACAAAACAAGTCTAGTGGACTTAAGGTCTGGCGACCTGGCATGCCAACAAGCCACGCCATATGACTCTTCTTTATCATTGTTATCATTTAAGTTGTGTATTTTTCATTAAGTCAATCTCGCACATCGGTGGAATGTACCATAGAACTAACACCGTAAACGATATTCAAGCTATGCCAATAAATAAGAAAAAAACCCTAAATAAAGATACATCATAAAACATAGGTTCATAAAGTGTTAATCCTAACAATTCCTCAATATATTAGGAATTTTACAAGGATTCTGAAAATTGCAATAATACCCATTTAAACATGATTTTTAAAGCAGCTGCTGCCATATCATTGAAGCCAATACATGTTTTTCACAGGAAATTAAACATTATTTGTTCCTTGTTTTCAAGAGAAATCCTTAAATTTGAGAGCGACAAATCAAACGAACAGTAGATGTTTATACATCATTTTAAAGGTTATTAACTGCAGAAGTTTTTAGTAATATTTGACACTCTCTAGAGTCCAGTGTAGTATGGAAAATATTTGGAAAAAGTTATTACTTTTTTCTAAAAAATCACAAATTCAAACTTCCAATGCCAAATAAGGGCTTATGCAGATGTTTCATATCAATGAATTTGTAACATTAATATTGGAAATTTAACGAGGATTCTAAAAATGACAATGAATTTGGAATAAAAACAATGTTTAGTGCACTTATGGCCATTTTATGTAAGCAAATAAAAATATTTGGAAAAAATCTTAAATTGTCCGTTATTCCCTACCTGTATTGGAAACTTAAATTGGTGCCATTTTGTCACCAATACTTAGTAGTTTAACACATACAACTTTTTAACACTAACTTCGTTCCACCCTGTATAAAAATTTGAACGAATGGTGTTTTTGGCCTCTGGGGACATCAAAATGAAAAAGTAAATCGGTCCTGGGCCTAGGTTTTACCATGAGACCTACGGTAATAGCTACTTCCCTATAGGGAAATTCGCTAAAAACATGAAAATTGTCACACGAAACACATACATGGTAAAAATGTGTTTTAAAAACAGGATTGTTGAGTAACGCACATTTCCGCACCGAGGTTAGACGACCGTGAGTTGCTCTCTCCGATGTACAACTAGTTACTGCTAGATAGAGCTAAGTTGTATAAACTACTTTCAGAGCATAAAAGCCACAAAAGTTCATTTAACATCTGTAGGGTTTCAATCCTTTAGCTATCCATAAAATATCTACTTGCTCCGAAAAATCTCCACTTTTACTCCCACTCTGTATCATATTCTTCCCCTTCGTCCGGTTAATCTTTGCTTCTTCTTGAGTCAATGACATTTTTTGGGGGGGGGGGGGGGGTGGAGAAATCAAGTCGTCAAGAGGGACAATAGGATGAGCAACAGTATACAAATTAACATAAGAGGTGAGATCTTCGCTTATACCGTTGCTATCCCAGCCGTAGTACTCACACAGAGTTTTTAAATTTTCTAGTAAATACTGCTTTTTGACACTTCGACTAAACCAGTATGAGTGAAGTAAGTCACCTCACTTACCATGGCAAGGGAGTGGTCTTCCAATTGAAAATGTAACGATACTAGAAGCTTGAAATAAAGATCAATTTGTGGCTTCTTATGAACGTCAACAATGGGCTCTCCTAATCCTAGGTAATCAGCAAAGCGTTTCCTTTTTCTTGCTCTCTTTTGCACCACAAATCTTCTGCCTTTTTCACAACTTTACCCCATTCTTAATCAATTCATAGTTTCGGTAATTTTAATTATGGATTGAACACCTCCATTGTCCAAAACGATACCTTGCAGACCAATGGTAACTGGGTGCATTACGTTGAATACAGCTTGAGCAAAATGGAGAGCAATCACTATTTCCCTTATGTTAAGCTTAACTAAAATGTCCTTTGAAAGAGTAGCCTCAGAGTAGCTGATTTGAAAATATTGTAACTTTCCAAATATGATTTTACCTCCTCGTAACATGCCAAAACAACTTTGATAGATTTTGCCTTATTCTTCCATCTGGTTGTTTGGACCCTCCTTAGTCTCATTTTCTTTTCTAAACAAAGAAAACCCATTTGGATATACTGTTCACTAGAACATCATGTCTTTTGTGTCCTGAAGTCTTAAAGTCATCTTAAATCTTAATCTTAAACATCCGGCAAAGTTCTTCAAGAATTTAAAACAGTTTTTCCATCTGGGGGCATTTGCTGATTGATTGCTCAATAACTAAAGCGAACATGTGTAATGTGCACCACATGTAAAACGCTATTTTTTTCTTTTTTAATAAGAGTTTTCAACCCAATTGCAGAACCTCTCATATTAGAAGCTCAATCCATGCTTTGTCCAAAAATATGCTTTAGGTCCTTCATTTAAACCTTCCTCCAATGTTTCCAATAATATCGTTTTCAAGTTGATCCCACTAGTTGTAACCGGATACCCAACTGCATTGATTAATAGGTGAATCCCTTAGACGCACAAAATTGTTGCGCGTTGTTAGCGGACGCGCAAAATCGATGCGGGAGTCTGGGATGACCAAACAATAACCACAGAAGACATGGCTGGACGCAAATATAAATTTATTCAACAAAATATAACAATATATAAAAAATATAATATCATGTACTTTAAGCTTCATAACCCTGCCCTAGCCAGGAGTAACACCAAATATAATTAAAAAAAAATAAAGATTTAGGAGTTTTTTTTTTGTTTTGAGCGGGCTAGCTTAGGCAACAAAGCTTGCATGCTCTCATCCTTTTAGCAATTTCACGAGATATTGATACTGGTCCGTAATCTGCTGATCTTCTTCTTCGTTATCATCTAGTCATCACTCATTGTGCTTCATCTGTGCAGTTTTATTATTTTTTATCAATAGATAAATCGCCTTTGGAGTCATCTGATCATTTAAAAGACTAGACAATTCGTTATAAATAGGGTTTGACGGTGCCACAACCTTCCCCACAATAAAAGCGCTTGTTTTGTAGCGTAAAATAATTGTGCTTACCTCCTCAGCAGTTACTTTTCGAGGCCTCCCACGCTTCATTTGATATAATACTACAAAGCACTCGCCATCAAATTCAATAAAATTAGACTAGAAACTTGGATTACTTTTTGAGAGTTACAAATGCCTCGCTTAGATCGCAGCACTAGAACTAATAGCGCTCACCCCTCACGTGCAAAAGGATAGATGCGAGCATGGCTGTAGCGGTAGTAACAAGATCAGGCGGGCTGACCTTGAGAGAGGGCGGGAATTATCGCTTCCCTCTGTTCACCCCCAACGTCCTATTTAGTGCTCTGTGCATACGTCTTGAGTTTGCACTATCAACTAATTATCCCCATTTTACTTTTAATAATTGGCATATGTTATTGAGTATTAACAAATGTTTAAGATCTGATGAGTCAGACGAGTTCCTCTCCCTCAGAATATTTGTAATCGAATTATTGTATTAAGATTATAAACTCATTGTTATGTTCTACTGAGCTAAACCTAAGATGACGACCCTATATTTATTCATTTGAATTATGAAACCTCAATTATTGTAATACCCTATTTCTTAAGTACATGATTAATAAACTTGTATTGTAACAGAATACTTGATAATTTGAATCCTTAAGATTTTTAATTTATGTAAATATAATTTTCTAATATGCCTAGATTAATCCAATAAATATAAAGAATAGTAAAGGTACAAACCTGTATAGGGAATCCTTGTAATCATAATTAATTAGTCCTAACCAAATTCCAAAGGCACTACCGTTACTCATTTTGTATAACACCACAATTTACGTGCAGTTAGCCAATTGGGTAGTGAAAATATTGTTTAAAACATAGGCCAGAATAAGTGGGCTACTACACCATAACAAAACAAATACGCGTTGTTTTCTTTTAATGGCGTCCAACATATTGGCTACAAAAGGTCTTCAAATCAAATATCACGTTATTGTAGCTAGCCTAATCATCAAATCAAATCAAAATGCCTTTATTCTTGAGCGCTCCTCAATACAATACCGGTTTACAGAATAACTCACGTCACTAAAACTAAACATTACAAGTCAAATATATAAACAAAATATTTACCTCAACAAAAATTATACGCCTGCTTTGCAATGCATTTTAAACTTATTTTATAAAGCTAATGCCGAAAGGCTTTTGAACTGATAGGGGAGGTCATTGTAAAGGGTTGGGCCAAAATAGGAGAACCCCCTCCTCCCTATTTCCAAATTAACTTTTAGAAAGGGGAGGAGGGTGTCCTGCCTAGTGCCCTATCGAGCAATTGCTCCACGTGTCACAAGTCTCTCCACAAGGTATTTTGGTTCTCTGTGAGATAATACCCGATGGATGAGACAACAAGTTTGCACTCTGCATACAGAATCGGCTAGTAACAGACCAGCAGAATCCTGGAAAGAGGATATGTGTTCCCGCTTATGAAGTCCATAGACAAAACGAACTGCGGTGTTTTGCAGCCTATTAAGTAGCTTCATATCCTCCCGGGAAATACTGTTACCGTATGCAGAAATGCAGTAGTACATCACTGACAACACCAGAGACTGAACCAACTTCAATTTTGCAGTCTCTGGAAGAATCGAACGGAATCTGCACAGTCCTCGCAGCCTTCCCAAAACAATTTGAGAAACGTAAGTGATGTGGTTGGAGAAGGTAAGACCACTGTCAAGAACCACGCCCAAAGTCCTGACAGTGTCACAAACCCCAAGCTTTTCATTGTCAAGTTGAATATGCACTTTACCGTCGCAGATTTTTTTGATTACGATGGGTGGTGATCCAATGTGGATCACTGTGCGTCTTTCAACATTCAACTTAAGGCCGTGCTTCCTTGACCACTCACTTATTCTCTCAAGATCCATGTTTGCATTCTCAAAGGCGCTGTTGAATGAGCTGATTGGGTGGGAAAAATGCAACTGGCAGTCATCTGCATATGCATGCAGATTACAGTGACGTACACACGTGGTAAGGTCGGCTGTCTAGAGTGTAAACAAGATGGGTCCCAGACAACTACCCTGCGGGACTCCCCTAAGCTTTTTAAGGGGAGGCGAGGTGTCTACACCCATCCTGGTTACCTGGGATCTGTTTCCCAAATACGACCTTAGCCAGCTAATTGCCACATCCCCAAATCCAAAGTGTCTCAATTTGCTGAGTAGCAAACCATGGCTGATGGAGTCAAGGGCCTGCGAGTAATCAAGCATGATCAAAGAGCTACACCGGCCGCTGTCTCTCGCCGCAAACAAGTCTGCAAACAGGTTTATCAATGCAGTGTTTGTGCTATGATTTTTTATAAACCCAGATTGGAATTTAGGCAATAAATCTTCTTCATCAATGAAATCCGTAATCTAAGTATATTTGAAATAAATAAACTTATCACACTTAAAAAAAATCTATATTTAGGCATTAGCCTTCTTCAGGAACAAACAAACAATAACTAATTGTTTGCTAAAACCATCTGATACAGAGTGGTAAACACTTCTATTTGTTATTGTTTGTTCGTTCCTGAAGAAGGCTAATGCCGAAATATATAACTTTAAAAAAAGTGTGTGATAAATTTATTTTGGATAATGATTTAGCCGTTTGGCAATATTATGTAGAAACAATATATTTGAAATAAGGAATTTTTGTTACTAAAAAATTATCCCCCTCTGCAATAAGCGTCCCAATGATAAATGACTGATCATCGATATAGATACTTGAATTGCTTTTATTTAAAATGTAAAAGAAGTTCTTCCAAGTTATAATTTTGTAATGTCTCCATCAAAACGGGAATCTTCACTTTCACATTAACTCCTTTTATCTTGTGCCAGTCAATGTACATCTCAGCTATAGTATCTGAAAATAATTAATTTAATCAATACATGTTCATATCTCATAGCGTCATTTATAAATAATATAACAAGAAATTCCACGCAAATGAGACCATAATATTTTATGTATTGTGCAAATCTAAAATTTGTAAGCCAGGCAATCAAGGTAGCTTTATAAGTAAATTAATAATACAGTAAATATTTTACCAATATGACTGATGAGGAATTAATCATATTATAAAGGTAGTTTAAGGCAGATGCTTATTAAAGAATACTCGTAGTCTTGAAAAATTCAGTCATTCGTTAAAGTATCAATTTTATCAGTAATCCTGTAATTTCTAATACATTTTTTAATAATATTTGTCGTAATACAATCAATTTTACTTATAACCCAGAAGTCACAGACACACATGAAAATGTTTATTTTATAAATTAATAGCAAGAAATCGTTTAAAAAATTGTCATAAAGACGTATTTGATACTTTTTTAGGTAAAACATGTATTTCAATGTGAAACAAATAGTTATGTGATCATTTCAACAAATAAAATAGCTATCAAAACATGTCATCACGACAACTAAAGCAATTATTATATTTTAGTAAGGCATTAAAATCACCAGTGAAGCGGGCGAGATAGCCAGGCTGGCTGTTGTATCGCTCCAACAGCTGTTTCTGGTTGTCAAGGATCTGCTGGTACTCGGGGCTGAGCAGGTCTCTGCCTTCCACAGTCTCCAGTTCTCTGAGAGCCTCCAACAAGCCTACCTATACGCATTGTACATTGTAAATCTCTATGTGAGTATAACTCAAGAAAAAAGTCTTTATAGTTTTCCTCCAACAATCCTACCTCTTACGCATTGTACATTCCAAATATGTTTTGAGCTTAGCATATGGTAACTCGAGAATAGTCTTTGAAAAGTCAGAAGAGGTGCATTGATCTATCCTTTAGCAATACCAGCGTGGCAGACAGTTATTCTTTTATTTTTCCAAAAGGTGAATTTATGGTTCTTTTTACTGCTCCTCCACTTTGTTCTCGTTGAGCCATGTTTCATCGAGATAAATTGATTAATCCATATCTCAACGTTTCGAACTTTCCGTAGCTTTAATCTTTTTCCCGTCTATGGACTGACCACGACGTAAACAATTTACCATCTGACAAATAACAACTAGTCGAAAAGGAGAATGTGTCTTACAAAATGTGAGACTTTAGACTGAGGAATGCATTACACACAACAAAGGTTGGATGATGTATCAGAACACAGGAATAACCACCACACTTAATATCTGTTTAATACCCAATATTTAAAATACTGTATTGGGTTTTTTTGAGAGTGTATCATTATCTTTCAATCATATATTTCCTCATTCATAATATATTTCATATATTCAGTTTAATATGACAAATATAAAATATCCCGTATATATCTGATATAGATAAATTTGAAAGACAAAATAATATAAGTGTTAATGTATTTGAGATTGAAGATGATAGATATGAGTATATCAATTAAGAATAACTAAGATGAATAGTAATACTCACATAGACCTAATATTATTACAACAAGGTCGTAAATCGCATTACTGTTTAATTCGTGATTTTGATAGGTTAATGCTGCGGTCTACAAAAGATGATCATAAGAAGTATTTTTCCAAGTTCTGTTTACAACATTTTTACACTAATGATAAATTAAAACGTCGCACAACATGTTGTAAGAACTTTGATGCCAACGAGTGGAAATGTCTAAACAAAATACATTACAAATTATAAATTATAAATATCAACTAAAGCCCTATTTGGGATTTATGTGGTTTTTGAATGTTTAAAATTATTTCTGAAGAGTTATACAGTGGTGCAAATGTTATGGACGTATTTTTCAAAAAAATATTTCAGACTTATGTCTTCATGGCGAAATATATTCCCCCTGTAATGACTCAAGAGCAAGAGGCATCTTTCCAAAACTCAACACATTGTCATATTTGCGAAAAGCCCCTATATTTTGATAGGGTGCGAGATCATTGTCACAGGCCGATTCCGTGGAGCTGCCCACAATGATTGTAATTTAAAGTTTAAACTATTAAGTAACAAAGAAAATTCCAATATTCTTTCATAACTTGAAAGATTATGTTGGACATTTAATAATGCAACACTTGGGAAAGTTTAATCGTAAATAAAATTGGTCAAATGAAAAGTGATTACCAACACTAGCTGTTATCCCCGGGCTTCAACCCGTTTGAATTCATAAGTATTAATAAAATTATTGATTGGTCAAGTTAGGCTGAAATAAACAAAACAGATTACAGCATTTCAAACAAATAATCACAACAGTTTAGGTAGTACATTGAAAGAATAACATACAAATAAGAACAGCTGAGGTATTTTTAGCATTAAGTATATGGAAAGTTCCCTTTGGAAAGCAATTATGACCCTAAATGGCAATTTATGAAAAAATGGATAGTTTAGAGCAAGGTTTCTCGTCATGACGAACATTTTAAGTATATGGTTTATGGGGGTATGACTTGTAGTTTTCTCAAAAGTTCATGGGTACTTGATTGTGTAGATGATTGTGATATACATGTTTTAAATTTAAATCGTCTTGTTTGAATAATATTAGGAAATTTACATTATCACGTAAATATTTGTGTACTTTGCTGTAAGATTGGCACAAGTAAAAATAGTTAATTGTATAATATTTGGGTTATTTATGTCATCAAATAAAACAACCGACTGTGATTCGACATCATTTGGTGCTTCCTTTCTTACAATTAAAATATAAATGACAACCGTCTTTCCACTTCCGCTTGGGCTACAAATAACACATTGAATATTGGTAGGAAATAGACCCAACTTCTTTGGTATATTTTCCTTATGTACTATTTTAATTTTTTTTATAACAGAAAATTTTTGTTTAGTGAAAATGGGTAAGAAAACATGTAAAAAGGGCAAAGGTTTATTCTTAAAACTCTTTAGGGGCCGAGGGTTGTTTCCTTCCATTCCCCCTCCACATCACTTCATATTCCTATTGTGGTCCTGGAACTAAGAAACGTGAATAATTTGCCAAAAATGTACCTCCAAAAAATAAGCTAGACTCTTATTGCAAAGAGAGTCATATTTACATATTCTATATAAATAATCCCGATACTGCTGATCAGAACAAAGCAGACATGAGATTAGCAGACTTAGCTTGGACTAGAGTTACTGCCAAAAAGGCAAATCTCGCTGAAAAAGCAGCAGCTTATGCCGTGAGAAATTTGATGAAAGCAAAAGCAAAATTGGGAATGGGATTAAAATTTAATTAAAAATATGGACAACTACCAGCTGTTAGAGGCCGCAAATGACGTGCCTCACTTCCGAGGGGTGTACCTAAAAAACGAGCTAAAAAATCTGACACCCAAAGTAAAAGAGTGCGGAATAGTTAATTTAGATAGCTCATCTGGCACACACTGGACAGCATATCGTAAAAATAAAGACATTGTAATTTATTTTAACCCATTTGGAATCCAACCTCCAAAAGAAGTAATTAAATATGTTGTGGGCCACAAAATCTACTATACAACTCATTAAATACAAGATTTAAATAGTGCCATTTGTGGAATTTATGTTTATCGTTAATAAAAAAAAAATTTTTATAAAAATGGATTCATTTACTATAACGTTTTCGGGTACAGAGCCAGAGCGGTGTTCTTTCCTCCAATACTAAAGTAACTGATGTGGCTAATTAAGTGGCTCACCAATCAAGGGTACTCACCACCTAACGCTCCCAATGTAGCGCTGTCATGGTCGCCTAGTGTACAAAGGCCCTTAACATATTTGAATACATTCTATATTGTCAAGTTACAATGTAGTAGTGAGATGTTTCACAAACCTGTCGAGCCAGGACAACTTCTGAGCTCAGCCGAGAGTCGAGACGTCGCAACAAGCTTGCTGCACTGTCATCGTTGATGTCTGGCAAAAAACAATATAAATGATCCCATGAAGTATAATTAAGGTATACAGTAGAACCCCTCTAATCTGTCGCCTCTTGAGAGATAGCTGGTCTAGTGGTTAGAGCGCGGGACTTCGGTCCCTGAGGTTCCGGGTTCAAATCCCACCAAATCACCAATGTATTTTATCTAACTGATAATGCCGCAACCCCTAGGTCTAACCTGTACTAATGTGAGAAACAATCCCGGGCTCGTGCCTGGTGTCCTAGTAGAAAAAAATAACAATCGCCTCTGTGACCGGGGGAATGGTCGGAATACAAAAAAGGTCGGATTATTAGATAAAAGGCAATATTTAATAAAAGTCATTTAATAAAACGTATTAACAGAGAAATAAAAATTTTAGAATTATGTACAGTATTGAACATATGTTGTTTATATGTTACAAACATTGCAATGAATCACACAAAAGTTGTTATTATTATTGATTAAAAAAATAGTGTAAGACTGTACTGAACTGAAATAAATTAGCCTACTGTATTACTTAAGTACATATTGTAACTTGTACTGATAAGTGTTATTGTAACTTTGCTGTGTTGCCAACCTGGCCGACGGCCCTTCCGGCCAATGCCTAAAGTGTTAATTTGGCAGATGCCCTGCGTGGTATCTGGAAATGTAAATAAAAGCAGCAATAAAGCACTTTTTCATTTCATTTCATTTCATTTCATATTACTTAAGTACACAATTACTTGGAAATAAAAGTCAGTTATAGATTTTTGTTTAGCTGGTGAAATTCCAGACTTAGCTGCAGTGTTCCGCCATTTCTTGATCCACAAAATATCCATGTGTGAAATCCGGGTAGGGGGTGTCACCATCCGAGTCCTCATTCACATTTTCTTCCCGATCGTTATCAAAAACAGCCGCAATAATCTGGTCGTCATTGAGCTCTCTTCCCTGGTTTCACAGTCTTTGTCACATTGGGCAATCCAATCTTCAACTCAACTTCACTGACAGGGGCATTTGCCTCTAGAGTTTGGAGATCTTTTACGATTTCCTTTGTGTCCTTGTTTTGCTCCTCTTTGATCTGATCACTTTCGTACATAACATCCGGCCAAAGCTTACGCAATGATTTTCGCCGAGTGTCAGACTTCAGTTCTTCCCATGACTCAGCAATCGTATGGATAGCATCTTTGATATTAAGGGCTTTCATAGCCTCGAATAAGTTAGCACCTTCTTCAGACTTTTCCAAAATTGAGCTGGTGAACCTTCTGCGATAGCGCCTTTTTAACCATTCAATCACTCCCTGATCCATTGGATCGATCAGGGATGTAAAATTTGGAGGCAGGAAGATAGCTTTAATGTCCCCTTTCACTAATTCCTCTTCAGATGGATGTTATAGTGCATTGTCCAACAGCAGTAAAGCACTAACAGGAAGCTTTTTTCAATCAAATAATTTTCAACTGATGGAGCAAACTCGTAAAACTAAGATTTAAATCAATATTTTTACCTTTTTGGTAGCCTAAGGTGTCAAAAATTCTTATCTCCTGCGAGACGCATTTCGCATTAATTACAATGCATCTTCAGTCGCTGTCACAGGTCTCAACATTGCCCACAGAAGTGGTTGTCACAATTTACAAAACATTTAACACAGTTTACGAAACACATTGTATATACAGTTTTACGACCATGGTCACACACGTACTGTACAACAAGCGATCGTGAGAAGACATGCGATACCGCACAAGGTTGTAGGCCTACTGGTCAATCCTCCCTTATCTTGTCTTAATCAGCTGTTCAGAAATCAGAAATCAGAAATCAGAATACTTTATTCTTGAACATAGAGTACAGAATAGGCGTCATTACAGAGATTGAGAGGATTGTTTAATCCTCACTGGAACATCGGTGAAGTTCTCCAGTTCATGAACTCCTCAACTGTGTAGAACGGTCTCTCCACAAGCCAAGCCGATAAGCTGCTTATGCTGGGGCCTTTTATTGTCTCTGGGAGCAGGTTCAGGAACTTCGCTCCCATGTAGGAAGGCTTTTCTTCAAAAAGAGTTAGATGATGGACTGGAAGTGTGTAATTCATAGCCTGTCGGGTGTTATGGCTGTGCCTATCCGTACCTCGTTGGATCTGTAGCCTGCTTGCGTGTGTAGCCACAGCTAGGATGTACAGGCTTGTAATCGTTAGGATTTTTAGCTCACGGAATTTCGGTCTGTGACTTTCTCTCTTGTCCATGTCTGCTAATATTCTTACTGCTTTTTTCTGGTGGATAAGCACACGTTGGAGGTTGGTTGCCGATGAGTTTCCCCATACTTCAAGGCCATATCGAAGATGTGATTCAAACAGTGAGTGGTAAGCAATCTTGGCTATGTTGGTGTCACTTATGGTTTTTATCCTTCTTATCACGTAGACACTGCTATTCAGCTTACTACACAGGCTGTCAATATGGGGGGTCCATGTCAGTTTCTGGTCTATTATTAAACCTAAATACTTTGCTTCTTCTGGGCCTTCGATGTCTGGGATCCTGCATACCCCACTATTTCTCCTGCCAAAGACCAGTTGTTGTGTTTTCTCTTCATTAACTACTAAGCTGTTGTTTTGGCAATATTGTATTGCCATGTTTATGGAAACAAACGAGCTGATTTCAAGGGCTTCAGGGTTTTTCCCCCCAATGAGGAGTACGGTATCATCTGCATACATCAGAGTCTTGCTGTAGTCTTCCAAATAGTGAGGGAGATCATTTGTAAACAAGATGAAAAGGATGGGGCCCAGCACAGAACCCTGTGGAACACCCCTTACTACAGGTAATAACTTTGATCTTACTGTTTGTGTAGATCCCTTTTCAGTGTATTTGAGTTCAACCATCTGACTTCTTCCAGTTAAATAGCTCTTGAACCATTCTGCAGTTTTCCCACCAATTCCAATTTTCGCAACTTGTTACACAGTTGTGTATGATCTAAGCAGTCAAATGCTTTGCTGAAATCAAGTAAAATTGCGGTTGGTATGTTTCCTTCTTCTAGATTATCTATTACATATTCAGTTAGCGCTATTATGGCAGATGTGGTTGATTTTCCCTGTACAAATCCATGTTGATGTGGTGTGAGCAGTTCATTGGATGATAGGTGTTGAAGAAGTCTGTTTAGTACTATTTTTTCAAATACTTTGGAGAATGTGGAAATTAATGAAATTGGGCGGTAGTTCTTTGAGTCCAGATGGTTTCCTTTCTTGAATTTTGGGTATACCTTTGCAATTTTAAGCCCACTTGGGAAGATTCCTTCTTGGAAAGAACGGTTGATGATGTACGTTAACGGTCCAGCAAGTTCTTCTTTACATTTTTTTAGTAGACTGGCGGATATATCATCTACTCCAGCAGATGTTTTATTTTTTAGGGTGTTGATCACTTGAGTCAGTTCCTGCTCGTTTGTTAACTGAAGAGACATCTCAGGTGTCTGACAGTGTACCTCTGTGATTTCAGCTGGCTGATTTTGGTTTTGGGGATTTTGTGCAAGGGTGTCATTGGCTATGTTAACGAAGAACTCATTAAGATGATTGGCAACATTTTGAGGATTGTTGGTTTTGAGGCCATTTATTTCTAGTGTGATTGATTGTTCTGATGTGTCTCGAGTCGGCTTTCTTTCTCTGTTGATGACCCTCCAGAGTGCTTTGGTTTTATCATCAGCTTGCTGTATTTGGACTGCTGTGGCCTGTCGTCTTAGTGTCTTCAGTTTCAGGTCATAATCTTTTTTCTTGTTTGACATTGTAATTTTGTCCTCTTCTGTTCCACTCAGTAGGTATTTGTTCAGAGCCTGCAGAAATTCTTGCTTTAGTACCTCAGCTTCATGGTTTGCTATAGGACGTTTTCTGTTTTTTTTCCTTGACTTTACCATTGGGCAGGTTTGGTTAATAGCTCCTGCAATAATCTTGCTGAAGTTACGATAGGCATCCTCTGGTTGATGTTCATTGAAGACACTTTCCCAGGTTTCTTGGGCAAGAATAGTTTTTAAGCTCATGACATTCCTTTGGTTGAATTTCCTAGAATAGAAGGTTTGATTCTGAGCTTCTGGGGCAGAGGTATTAATTTTGCAGAGCTGTGCTGTGTGGTCTGAGAGTCCGGCATTGAGAACGTCAACCTGAATATCATCATTGCCTAGGTTTGTGCAGACACAGTCAATTGAGCTTATTGTAGTAGGTGTTATTCTTGTAGGAGGCAGGGGGAGCCGTATCATATTGTGGCTAAGAAGAACTTCGTTAAGTTTTGTCATTTGAAGGTTTGGCTCCAAGCAGTCTATATTGATATCACCTATGAGAATAACTTGATTTTTCCATGTTTGTGTTTTTTCTAGGGTTTCAATGATATCCAAGGATGAGTCTAGGTTTCCTTTGGTTCTGTAGATGCCAACAACGTTTAAGTTTTGTTGTGTTATCCGTGGTAACCTCTTCCCCCTCTAGTCTACTGTACAGACGATAGGTAACTTTATCAGAAAAGTCTTCTTTAACATTTAATAAGCTATCTTTACCCGTTGAAGTGACCTTTTTGAAAATAAAATACTCCTCCCATATTTTTGACCTTTGAGCGTTATCACAGGCTTTAAGCACATTTAGCGATTTATCAAAACTTATATTGTGGGAAGGATGCTCTTTCAGATTTAAAAAGATTGCAGTCCATCCATGCAGATTTTTCATTGCGATAATAACCCGGCAAAGAAGACAAGTGTAGATTTTTGAAACCTCTGGGCTTTTTAGATTTGCCAATAATGAACAGAGAAGTGTGTTCCATTACTGCAAAGAGCAAAGGTTAGCTTATATTTAATAAGTTTGGTTCCGGCCTCGGATTCATTTGATGCTGCGAGTGTCTTGGTTGGCAGCATTTTAAAGTTAAGGCCTGTCTAGTCCATGTTGTAGACTTGGCAAGGTAGCGTTTTATTTTCATCCACAATTTCTTGAAAATTCCATAGCCGCCTCATCATTAGCAGATAGTTTTTCACCAGAAATTTAAACAAACCGAACACCATGACGGGTTTTCA